CCCCCGCACCCACACCTTGCCCTGTGGGTCTCTGTCCCTCCATGTCCCTGCAGTCCCACCTCCTTCCAGACGATGGCAGCAGAGGACAAGGAGTCCCAGAGGGTGATCTCTGGCCAACGTCTTTCAAATGATTACAAGACTGTGCCAGTTTCTGATTCACATATTTATTTATTTATTATTAAAAAAAAATGTTTTATTTATTTTACAGACACAGAGAGAGAGACAAAGTGCAAGAGGGGAAGGCGCAAAGAGAGAGGGAGACACAGAACCGAAACAGGCTCCAGGCTCTGAGCTGTCAGCACGGAGACCCAATGCGGAACTTGACCCGACGAACCTGGAGATCATGACCTGAACCGAGGTCGGACGCTTAACCGACTGAGCCACCCAGGCACCCCACCTAATGCACATTTTTATTTATTTAGGATTTAGGCTTTCCCCCCTAAAAAGACTTCAAGCATTAAATGACGTGGGAGACTTCAGGATTAAAAATAGAACAGAGGCCACGCGGAGATCTTACCTTGCGCCGGAGCTGACCCTCGGGTCCTCAAGTCGGTGTTGACTTTCAAGGGAGGTGAGGTCAAAGGAGAAGCACAGGGGCCTTCCGGGCCAGGATTGGAGGGGGTGACCGCATGGTGAGCTACAGCCAGGCTGGGACGCGGAGGCTGCTTTTTGCCTTCCAGCCTCACATTCCCAGGGGTTGTTACCTCAGTTTACATACGTGGCAACAGAGTCAACGAAGCGAGCATGGTGACTGCTGCCCCTCAGCTTGTTAAGTGGCAGAGCTGGGACCTCCCCCTTGCATCCTTCTGTCTCCCTCCGGTGACAAACACGACTTTTATTTTCTGGTCCGGCGGCCATACCCACCTGTTGGCAGAGAGAAGGTTTTTTGTTTTTACCCCTTGAGCTTAAACACATCGGAGTGTGCCAAATGAGCCGGGACCACAATGGGCCGTGGTTTCCACAATAGTTGCACAGGCCCCAGAGCAGGTGGGTGTGTGGCACACCGCGCCAGGGGTGGAGGGTAGAGAGCAAACTTCCTGGAGACGGGAGCGAAACTGGCTCAGTCCTGTTGTTTCCTAATGATTTCCTCCACTCTGGCCACACTGGCCTCCTTGACGTCCTCCAACATACCAAACATACACCTACCCCCGGGCTTTTGCACCTGCTGTCCTTCTCCCTGGAACACGGTTCCTTGATAACATCAAGGCTCATGTCAACCCCTCCTTCAAGTCTCTGCCCCAAATGAGTCTTCAAGGCGCCTACCCTGACCTCTCGATTTACAGTTGCATCCGCTCTGCGCCACAACCCGGATCTCTCTCTCTCTCTCTCTCTCTTTTTTTTTTTTTTTTTTTTACAATTTGTTTAATGTTTATTTATTTTTGAGACAGAGACAGACCGTGAACAGGGGAGGGCACAGAGAGAGGGAGACACAGAATCTGAAACAGGCTCCAGGCTCTGAGCCGCCAGCACAGAGCCCGACGCAGGGTTCGAACCCATGAACCGTGAGATCATGACCTGAGCTGAAGTCAGACGCCCAACCGGCTGAGCCACCCAGGCGCCCCAACCCGGATCTCTCTCACCCTGCCCTGTGTTTTCCCAGCACGCATCACCTGAGCATACTGTATCATTGATTCAGGTATTAGACCTATTCATTTATTTATATGCTGACCATGTTGACCATAATAATGCTACTGCCCCGACCTCCTGGGCCTTCTTCATTATCTTGCATAAACAGATGCCCTTCCCAAACAAACAACTTTTATTTTCTCTTAAAAACATAGAATGTCCCCCCTGCGAAGTATCTTATGGCTGGACCCTCTTCCCAGAGTTCAGACAGACATAATTTTTATTTTGTTGTGTTTTATTTTTTTTAAGTTTTTAATTAAGTGGGATGCCTGGGTGGCTCAGTCGGTTGGGCGTCGGACTTCGGCTCGGGTGATGATCTCACGGTTTTGTGGGTTCGAGCCCGGCATCGGGCTCTGTGCTGGCGGCTTGGAGCCTGGATCCTGCTTCAGATTCTGGGTCTCTGCCCTTCCCCCACTCACACTCTGTCTTTCTCTCTCTCTCAAAAAATAAATAAACGTTAAAAAAATTTTTTTTAGAAATAAAGTTTTTATTTAAGTAATCTTTATGCCCGATGTGAGGCTTGAACTCATGACCCTGAGACCAAGAGTCACGCGCTCTTCCGACTGAACCAGTCAGGCACCCCAATTTCTATCTTGTTTTTGCTCTCGGTCTGTTTGGCAATCTGAAGTCTATGGGCCCCTTCCCAGAAAAATACATAAATGCACTTTAGATGTATAAAGCAAAATACTTTGGAACAAAAAAAAAACCAGTTGTGTTCAAATGTAATGATGAAAATATTTTGAAAACATTGTGATACAATGATGCATGTGCTTCTTTTTTTTTTTAAATTTTTTTAATGTTTATTTATTTTTGAGACAGAGAGAGACAGAGCATGAACAGGGGAGGGTCAGAGAAAGAGGGAGACACAGAATCTGAAACAGGCTCTGGGCTCCGAGCTGTCAGCACGGAGCTCAATGTGGGGCTCGAACCCATGGACCGCGAGATCATGACCTGGGCTGAAGTCGGACGCTCAACTGACTGAGCCACCCAGGTGCCCCAATGCATGTGCTTCTTTATGAAAACACTAAACAGAGAGATCTAGTAGTGAGTCTAATAACTAACTTGATCTTAAAGTAGTTCTGAGTATAGGCATTTTAACACACTTGAAACGCCATCTGCTCGTGAGCTGTCTGGGCACTGCTCACCGCAGGAAGCCAAAGCCAGTGGCAGCGGGGGGTGGGGGGGGTGTCCTACCCCTCGTGGCCAGGATTGTCAAGGGTTCTCCCCACGGCGACGGAGCTGGAGTCCTCCGTGAACCTTGTGGGTTCTCGTGCAGAGGGCCTGGCGGAACTGGCCTCAAGTAGGAGCTTAAAAAAAAAGGGGGAAGCCCAAGGAGGAATGTGGCCAGCCTGGCAGGTGCTCTGGGTGCTCCGAGGAACCTGGCTGGAGCAGGTCACCAGCACTGAGGGGTTCCGGGGGACTGCCAAGCATCTTGAAATTAAACCCGTCTGATTCCCACGGCTTATCAGGATTCTAGAGGCTCCCCGAGGCTGTCTCCTGTGTCCGAGACTGAGAAGCTCCCCTGAGGGGTCCCGATATTTCCAAGGTTAAGGGGGAGTCATACAGTTGATACTGTTTCCATTGCTGGTGTGAGTGGTAGATACGTGGCAAAATAGGTAAGACAGTACATCCTGGATTTTCTAGGGTATTCTGATGGTGCAGATTTCTGGGCCAGTATCAGAATATGTGTCCCACTTTTGGGTATGGGAAATGCTGTAACCACACACGAGGACCAGGTTAATGTTTTGGAGATGGGGGGACGTGTGCTTTGCTGGGGCCTGTGTATTGTATCTGTTGGTCCAGAACCAGGCAGAATCACTTTTACAGAGAATCACTTTTACTCCTGGGATGGGGAAAGGCACCTCGACTAACATTTTTGTTCACAGAACGCAAGACCTAAGAGTAACGCAAAGTCTTCGATAAAAAGAGTTAAAATGCCGGAGTGGGCTGCCGGCTGCAGTTTGGGGTTCTTTGGGGATCACAAGGGGAAAAGGAGAAACCCAGCTGCAGGCAGGGCCCCGGGGGAACCCCAGGAATACCTGAGGTAGGAGGGCTGGTGTCTCGAGGTCAGCGATGATTGATACACATCACGTACGTGCTTGAAATGTAATCTGCTGGACGGGTTCTGCAGAAGGTGGGGTTCGGGCTTGCCCAAAACTTGCCGTCTGCCCCAGGAACGCACTGAGGTACTATTTGCGCCAGGCTCAGACCCCTCACAGGGATTGTGGCTTCTTGGGTCGCCCCGGGTTACTGGCGTGTTGGCCAAGGGATTCTGCCCGTCCTGGGTAGAGATCTGCCGTGTCCTATGTAGCTTTGGGGGGGGGGTCGCCAAACAACCTGTCTTCCCAGCCGCTTCTTCCTGAAGCCCTTGCATAATTGCCTCGTGGTGCTGCAGAAGCTGCTTCTAGCAAGGTCGCTGGGATCAAACTGAAGTTCTTGGTTGTCTACACACGTCGTCTTGCCACACATTTCCAGTCCAGGCTGTTAGGCCCTCTATTTAGCAGCGACCACTCTGTTCCTGCATATATCATGTGACCCGCCAGGGCCCATCACCCTTGTTAACCCAAACCTTCAGGGAAAGTCACATACGTGCGACCTTGTCAGTGGCGCTTGGGAGGTGGGAGGCAGGAAGGAGGCCTGTCTTAGGTGGGGTGAGGGAACAGGAGGAGATCACGAACTACAGGACCAAACGGGGGCCAGCCAGGCTGCGCAACTATGCAGAGATAAGCATCTGGGCCTCTCCCCTCCAGCCACCTGATTTTATAAGGGAGACCTCAGAAGGCCGGGAGGCTTGGGACCCACGGGCAGTCGACCCTTGAGTGAGTCTGTCAGTCATCTCTCTTTTAGCCTTGGTGTGAGAGCTCAGCCACAAATAGTGTGATGTCCTTTTAGTTTTCCCCTCTAACAAGCCCGGCTTTGTTCTTCCCACTCTCAATTTCCTGTGCCGACCCTCCAGGTTCTAGGCCTCCAGTTATGTTTTGGTGGTCTCCTATTTTTTATCCTTTCCCTTTTGTTTCGTGGATAGAAGGAGGTACAGATGCCTTTCCTTCCAACTGAGGATTCTGGAAATCTCCAATGGGCTTTAGAATGTCACATGGCACACTGCAGTGAGAGAAGCTGTGCAGAAACACGTGGGAGCTACAGTCTGGAAACTCCAGGTTCAGTTCCAGCCTAGCCCCTCAGTAACCTCATAGCCTTAGGGAAGTCACAGCCTTTCTGGGAATCCATTTCTGCATCTGTAAAGTGAGGCAGTGGGTCTAGTAGGTAACTCTGGGCTCTTGGGGTTGCAAATAACAATAAACCAACTCACACTAGCTTGAGCAAAATGAGGAACTATTGGCAATTGGTCGCCAAAGACGAGTGGAGGGGCCAGGCTGTGGGAAGGCAGCTGGACCTCAGGAACAAATGGGGCCAGGCATTTGATGGTCGTCAGGACTTTCTCTCTGTCTTCTGTCCCCACTTTATTATTTTTTTTTATTAAAAACATTTTTTTAATGTTTTATTTATTTTTGAGACAGACAGAGAAAGAGAGAGAGAGAGAGAGAGCATGAGCGGAGGAGGGGCAGAGAGAGAGGGAGACACAGAATCCGAGGCAGGCTCCAGGCTCTGAGCTGTCAGCACAGAGCCCGATGCGGGGCTCGAACTCGCAAACCGCGGGATCACGACCTGAGCCGAAGTCGGACGCTTAACCGACTGAGCCACTCAGGCACCTCTTTTTTTTTTTTTTTTTTTTTTAATGTTGGCCTCTTTTGTTCTCACTACAGGTTTCTTCATGTAGTGGCTAACATGGGTCCAGTGGCTTCAGCTGCTCCATCTAACAGCTTTGTGACCTGAGCCATCCGGAGATGAGACGGACTTGCTGACTTCCTAATC